GACATGGTGCTTACATTCGTATTATTTTATGAGGAACGTAACATGGTGCTTACATTCGTATTATTTTATAAGGAACGTACCATGGTGCTTACATTCGTATTATTTTATGAGGAACGTAACATGGTGCTTACATTCGTATTATTTTATGAGGAACATAACATGGTGCTTACATTCGTATTATTTTATAAGGAACGTAACATGGTGCTTTCATTCGTACTATTTTATGAGGAACGTAACATGGTGCTTACATTCGTATTATTTTATGAGGAACATAACATGGTGCTTACATTCGTATTATTTTATAAGGAACGTACCATGGTGCTTACATTCGTATTATTTTATGAGGAACTGTCATGGTGCCCAGATTCGTATTATTTTACCAGAAAGGCAATATGGTTCTTACATGCATACCTTTTTATAAGAAAGACAATATGCTCATGATATAGTCGGAATCGTCCAATCGACTCTGCGTTTAGCCGATATTTCTGATTAATATGGAAAGGGTTTTCTCTTTTATTTACATGCATAAAATTTTATCAGAAAGGTAATATGGTGCTTCAACGCTAATCGTTTTATAAGAAAGTGTATTGGGTCTTTAATAAGAAAAGTATCATGTGCATATGAGCATAAATTCTTATCAGAAAGGTAACATGGTGCTTGCATTTGGGAAATGATATTGTGCTTACATTCATATAACTGGTCAGAGACGTAACATTATGTTTACAGACATATATTCCTATCAAAAAGAGAACACACATTCATATTTTTTAAAGTAAGAATAGGGATATTCTTTTCCGTGTTTCCGATCTATTGTATGATACAGGAAAATGGAGACTGTGGTGCTGCTGGGTGATTTGGATGTTGGGGGAAAGTGTTATCATATCGGGATGCGGGGAACGCTGGGATGCTGGGATGCTGGTGGAGAAGGACGTATGGTTATGCATCAGGACGAGATTTATCACACACAGAGGAGATTGGAATGAATAAAGATGAGCTACGCTAATGGGAGTGAAAATGGCCACTCTCTGCTTCTTGTACACGGTTGAGTTAATGAGAAAGTCTTTTAAGGCGCTTAGATTGATATTCATAAATATGCGCGCTGTATGATTGATCGGACAAAGGGTTGATCAGCTCCGTCATGGGGTATCTCTTCAAGGAGAATACTGACATAAATGCTTGAAGTTGTTTGGCTAACATTTATACCGTTATGCCATGAGGTAGGATATGAATATAAGCATGTACAGGGGGAGACGGGGATGAAGAAGGTGCACGGAAGAAATGTTATGTAAAATGACTCCAGCATCTGGCAACATGACAGGTCGTTTTGACATTGAGGGTCGGTTCAATCTGGTTATGGTTGCGGGCAACGTGTACACAAAGAGTGTAGGGGGTGAGGGCAGAGTCGTTGCTGACAGGGATCTATGTGGTTGTGCTAGCTGGCACAGTGTACACATGGGGTGTTGGTGGTGTAGGACAGAGTCGTTGCTGACAGGGATCTATGTGGTTGTGCTAGCTGGCACAGTGTACACATGGGGTGTTGGTGGTGTAGGACAGAGTCGTTGCTGACAGGGATCTATGTGGTTGTGCTAGCTGGCACAGTGTACACATGGGGTGTTGGTGGTGTAGGACAGAGTCGTTGCTGACAGGGATCTATGTGGTTGTGCTAGCTGGCACAGTGTACACATGGGGTGTAGGGGGTGAGGGCAGAGTCGTTGCTGACAGGGATCTATGTGGTTATGCTAGCTGGCACAGTGTACACATGGGGTGTTGGGGGTGAGGACAGAGTCGTTGCTGACAGGGATCTATGTGGTTGTGCTAGCTGGCACAGTGTACACATGAGGTGTAGGGGGTGAGGGCAGAGTCGTTGCTGACAGGGATCTATGTGGTTGTGCTAGCTGGCACAGTGTACACATGGGGTGTTGGGGGTGTAGGACAGAGTCGTTGCTGACAGGGATCTATGTGGTTGTGCTAGCTGGCACAGTGTACACATGGGGTGTAGGACAGAGTCGTTGCTGACACATGGGGTGTAGGACAGAGTCGTTGCTGACAGGGATCTATGTGGTTGTGCTAGCTGGCACAGTGTACACATGGGGTGTAGGGGGTGAGGGCAGGGGCAGGGACGGTTGTTTGGCTGCGGATATCGTGAATATTTAATACAGACATGCGACCAGCAGACTCATGTGTATAGGTGTATAGATGTGTCTAGGTGTATATGAAGGAATATTGATGTGTCAAGGTGTATATGAAGGAATATTGATGTGTCAAGGTGTATATGAAGGTGTATAGATGTGTCTAGGTGTATATGACGGAATATTGATGTGTCAAGGTGTATATGAAGGTGTATTGATGTATCTAGGTGTATATGAAGGTGTATTGGTGTGTCTAGGTGTATATGAAGGTGTATTCATGTGTCAAGGTGTGTATGAAGTGTCTAGGTGTATATGAAGGTGTATTGATGTGTCAAGGTGTATATGAAGGTGTATTGATGTGCCTAGGCGTACATGAAGGTGTATTGGTGTGTCTAGGTGTATATGAAGGTGTATTCATGTGTCTAGATGTATATGAAAGTGTATTGATGTATCTAGGTGTATATGGAGGTGTATTGATGTGTCTAGGTGTATGTGAAGGTGTATTGGTGTGTTTAGGCGTATATGAAGGTGTATTGATGTGTCTAGGTGTATATGAAAGGAGTATTGATGTGTCTAGGTGTATATGAGGGTGTATTGATGTGTCTAGGTGTATATGAAGGTGTATTGGTGTGTCTAGGTGTATATGAAGGTGTATTCATGTGTCAAGATGTATATGAAGGTGTATTCATATGTCAAGGTTTATATGAAGGTGTATTGATGTGTCTAGATGTATATGAAGGTGTATTGGTGTGTCTAGGTGTATATGAAGGTGTATTGATGTGTCAATGTGTATATGAAGGTGTATTGATGTGTCTAGCTGTATATGAAGGTGTATTGATGTGTCTAGGTGTATATGAAGGTGTATTGATGTGTCAAGGTGTATATTAAGGTGTATTGATGTATCAAGGTGTATGTGAAGGTGTATTGGTGTGTCAAGGTGTATATTAAGGTGTATTGGTGTGTCAAGGTGTATTTTAAGGTGTATCGATGTGTCTAGATGTATATGAAGGTGTATGGATGTGCCTGGCTGTATATGAAGGTATATTGATGTGTCTTGGTGCATATGGACGTGTATTGATGTATCTAGGTGTATATGAAGGTGTATTGATGTGTCTAGGTGTATGTGAAGGTGTATTGATGTGTTTAGGTGTATATGAAGGTGTATTCATGTGTCCAGGTGTATATCAAGGTATGTAACTGTGTCTAGGTGTATAAGAAGGTGTATTGATGTGTCAAGGTGTATATGAAGGTGTATTGATGTATCTAGGTGTATATGAAGGTGTATTGATGTGTCTAGGTGTATGTGAAGGTGTATTGATGTGTTTAGGTGTATATGAAGGTGTATTCATGTGTCCAGGTGTATATCAAGGTATGTAACTGTGTCTAGGTGTATATTAAGGTGTATTGATGTGTCTAGGTGTATGTGAAGGTGTATGGATGTGTCAAGGTGCATATGAAGGTGTATGGATGTGCCTGGCTTTATATGAAGGTATATTGATGTGTCTAGGTGCATATGGACGTGTATTGATGTGTCTAGGTGTATATTAAGGTGTATCGATGTGTCTAGATGTATATGAAGGTGTATTGATGTATCTAGGTGTATATGAAGGTGTATTGATGTGTCTAGGTGTATGTGAAGGTGTATTGATGTGTTTAGGTGTATATTAAGGTGTATTGATGTGTCTAGGTGTACATGAAGGTGTATTGATGTGTCTAGGTATATATGAAGGTGTAATGATGTGTCTAGGTGTATAAGAAGGTGTATTCATGTGCCTAGGTGTATATAAGGGGTATTGATGTTTCTAGGTGTATGTGAAGATGTATCGATGTGTCTAGGTGTATATGAAGGTGTATTCATGTGCCTAGGTGTATATGAAGGTGTATTGATGTGTCTAGGTGTATGTGAAGGTGTATGGATGTGTCAAGATGCACATGAAGGTGTATGGATGTGCCTGGCTTTATATGAAGGTATATTGATGTGTCTAGGTGCATATGGACGTGTATTGATGTGTCTAGGTGTATATTAAGGTGCATCGATGTGTCTAGATGTATATGACGGTGTATTTATGTATCTAGGTGTATATGCAGGTGTATTGATGTGTCTAGGTGTATGTGAAGGTGTATTGATGTGTTTAGGTGTATATTAAGGTGTATTGATGTGTCTAGGTGTACATGAAGGTGTATTGATGTGTCTAGGTATATATGAAGGTGTAATGATGTGTCTAGGTGTATAAGAAGGTGTATTCATGTGCCTAGGTGTATATAAGGGGTAATGATGTGTCTAGGTGTATGTGAAGATGTATCGATGTGTCTAGGTGTATATGAAGGTGTATTCATGTGTCTAGGTGTATATGAAGGTGTATTGATGTGTCTAGGTGTATATGAAGGTGTATTCATGTGTCCAGGTGTATATGAAAGGTGTATTGATGCGTCTAGGTGTATGTGAAGATGTATTGATGTGTCTAGGTGTATATGAAGGTGTATTGATGTGTGTAGGTGTATATGAAGGTATATTGATGTCCCCAGGTGTACATGAAGGTGTACTGATGTGTCTAGATGTATTATTCCACGGTGTATCGATATGCTTAAGAATAACAAGATATGCAGATGAATATTGATGCACCTATGTGTACGATATGGAGTTTCTCGATGTGTTTATACAGTGTTTTAAGATGAAGTGACTGTCTGGCTGGATGTGGCGTAGATGTATTGATGTGCCTATGTGTACTGCTGGAGTGATGATGGCGTATGTCAGTTCACTAGTGATGCTGTTGAGATTCTGCACAGCTCGTCCCCACCTTCCACGTCTGCCTGTTGCTCTCCCGCCCCCTCACAGCCGCTCTGCCGGATCAATGTCAGCAGTCTTTCAATCAATGATGTAAGATACTGCCGAGGATGGCGTTGGTCAGAGACCGGGCCCCGAGACCCAACGGTGGCACATATATTGGTCTCCTGCGACAACTTAAGAACGTTGATTGTGTCGTCTGCTGTCGTCAGCGTAGCATCCACTTAGCTCGCCTTGGACTGCAGTGATGGCGGCAAGCATATGTCTATCTTCAATCAATACACATCTCCACTCATTTGCATGGCACGGAACTGCACAAGCTCTCGGCGCTACAGATTCGGTATTGTTTGGTATATTCACAGACGACACCACAAACTTTTGAATGGAAGGACCGCAAAGATAGGTCGTGTATAATTAGCTGTCACGTGATTGCTCCATTCATTATGCACAGCGTTGGGTGATGTCAGCCTCCATGGCATTAGCGCCAGAAATGTAAATTATTGTCGGTAGTTTTGCCCTCAGTGAAACAGATTTGTGATACACAGAGCATCCAGTCAGATCGCCCGTGATTCCATCGGTAAGGGCTGACAGCGGACATGCCACAACACGGCGAGGGTAGTAGACGTTGCTGTCGCCGCCGTTGAAGTTATCGTTGCTGCTGCTACTGTGTGATTGTGATTCCCTGGTTGCCAAGACGGTGTGCGACGGTGGACCCAGAATCCGTGGACTCGCAAGGCTGTTTGCCCTGATTTTCTACACGCTGTCAACTGTCGCGATTCGCAGGTGTATAATGGAGACGTAATATGTGTTCGTTGGGGGGGTGACTCCATTCCAAGGCAAGCTGTCGAGTGTCACTAACGTCCTCCATGCTGCAAGTAGGCACGTGTGCCGTTGCCAATGAGTAAGTCGTCAATGTGTCCGTCAGTCAGTCCGTCCGTGGTTGAGTTAATCATGTCTGCTCTTCTCTCTTTGCTCTGTTGGCCTACTCTATGACCTAGCTGATACCCTGTGACTGTCAATGCAGTAAGCTATAGTCTCGCAGGGCGCCTACCTTGCCGCCGGAAGCCGATCTAGATACTGGCGGCCATGATTGATGCCAGGTGCGGTAGCTTGACGATATGTCATGGCACACATTTGTAGCCACGCTGGTGTCTTCACTCTCGTACTCCAGAACACCTGTAGCCATGTAGCATCTTTTCCACATCGCGAGGGGACGCTAACCCTGCCGCCGTTCCACTGCTTGTCAGATGAAGCGGGCCATTGCTTCTGCATAGCTCACTCGACACGGGAGAAGCTGTAGGCGCGCTGGAACCTCAAGGCATCTGTTGTATATGGGATGTTTGCACACAAAGCCTCACTCCTTGTTCATCTGGTGTCGAAACAGAGAATACTGTGCTCCATGTCGTGAATCCTGGGCCATGGAGTTGCCGACGTCGTGTGACTAGCCATGGAGAGGTAGGCAACGCTGATGGTTGTCGTTTTCACGGTGCTGACAACCCTTCCTCGTCAAGCATCCACAATACCCGCCTAGTACTGTAGTCAACGCTCATAGTAGATCCTTGACATTACGTTCACAGCTTGCTCGGGTGTGCTTGATTTGTACATACGTGTTATGGTAAAACAACCAAGGGGTAAGTGTTCCCGCGTAGATGATTCCGCGAGCTTGTACGAGTGATAGCTTTGGTTTGACGTATGTGCTTATTGTAACTCACTAGTCGTGTATCGTGTACCCTCAGGTGTGTGTTAGTATGCCTACCCGCAAAGCTCAATGTACATGTCCGCTCTGGACGCTTAACCTCATATATCTCTGTGATCTTAAGGCCGTGTATGTATGCTTTATGTGAATGCACACCCCTGCCTCCGTAATTGTCGATAGAGTGTGACTGCGGTGACCATTAATTGAGCGTTCTGCCATAATCATCCTGGTATGTGGTGTTTGAGGTCTGTGGAAAAGTCTGATGAAGCGACTGTTGTCAGATGGTTTTTTTTATGTGTGATCAGCTTTACGTTACATGCCTAGTGGTAACTTCCTATTTCAAAACGGGCTGGAGTCATTATGTATGTCATATGCAAGTATACTCACAGCTGTCATATATTAATATGCTATGAAATTATTAATTGTTAGAGAAGAACGAAATTGCATTTATAGTAGTTTTGATATTTTACCATGTGACGTTAAGATAAGCTTTATCGGTGAAGGTCGTTTAACTTTTAACATACGCACGGACTAGATTCATACTCTGTCTAGATGTACGAACACATTGAGATCACCTCAGGGTACACGATTCACCATGACCTTTCCTGACTGACTTATAAACATGACCTCTGACATCTTGACCTCTGACATCTGACCTGTCTTCCACACAGCGTTGTCCCTCCCCGGCGATGTAGCGGTTGGCCACTGTGTAGAATGTGCTTGCCCTTGCTGCCTGTCCTCCGTGACCCTGCCTGACCCTTACCTGTTGACCGCCATCAGTGGCAGGACAGTTCAACAGCTAGCTTCATAAACTGTGATGAGTGTTCCCTACCCCCGCCCCGCCCGTCAAGGTGTACCCGGTCCTAGACTCTAGCACCCTGCTTTGTACCCCGTCTGTGTCAGTCCGTCTACCCGAGTGGTCAGTGCTAACTCTCCTCGTCGTGATGTGGCCCTCCTCCTCCTCCTCATCCTCCTCCTCCTCCTCAACTCGTCTGTCCACTCTGCTGCAGTCGTGTCGTACTGTGCTCCTTGCTCACCCCCACTCAGACTGATACCCGTTTCATACCCGTATCATCATGTTCTTATCCAGCTCCGGCAGCGGCCAGGGCCGAGACGGGGATCATGGCATGGCCGGCTCGAACCTCGGGTCCCGTGGGTCATCTCTCCGTCACCATACCTCACACTCCAGAAAGAGGGATGACCCGACTTTACCTGTTCTGAGGGAATCCTCTGCTAGGAGGAGAGAACGGGAAATCGCCAAGCAAGAGGTAAAAATAGCTCCCAATCCCGTAACCTCCTCCGTCGCGTCCGACGCCGAGCAGGGTCTCTCACCCCCCACAGTCATAAACATGGGGGTAGTCCATGAAGACAACACGCTCAGCCCCGGGCGGTACTACGCGTCTTCGGAATCCGCTCCCCCGGACCCATACACCATCATGAGGAGCAAACAGTTGTCCAAGAGGGTGATACTAAATGTTGGAGGTGTGAAACATGAAGTTTTGTGGCGAACTCTCGATCGGATGCCTCACACTCGGTTAGGAAAGTTACGGGATTGCAACACCCACGAGGCGATATTGGATTTATGTGATGATTATTATTTAGCGGAAAATGAATTCTTCTTTGACCGCCACCCGAGATCGTTTGCATCAATATTAAATTTTTACCGCACGGGAAAACTACATTTAGTGGAGGAAATGTGTGTGCTTTCATTCAGCGAAGATTTGGAGTACTGGGGGATAGACGAATTGTATCTAGAATCATGCTGCCAACACAAATACCACCAGAAGAAGGAGCACGTGTTTGAGGAAATACGGAAAGAGGCAGAGAGTATAAGACAACGGGATGAGGAGAACTTTGGGACGGGGGGTTGTGCAAAGTGGAGACAAAAGGTTTGGGATCTATTGGAGAAACCGACTACTTCCACGGCCGCAAGGGTAAGTGCACTTTATAACTATTTATTCACTTCTTATATTTTGCCTGCATTTTAATTGTAGATTATATCTCACATATATGTTTTTACATTTGCACATTTGAAGGAAGTCATCGTGTCATGTGACCCGTGTTTACATTCCGCAGCTAAACTGTTAACACTCGCCAGGAGGCATCGTTTCCATGGCATCTGTCGCCTAGAAACATGCTGAAGAATGCGTGCCACCAGATGGAAGTAGATGGTACAAGACGACATATATATCTATATTTAAATACCAAGCATATGAGACACAGCCTGAACGTAAGGCGATATGAGGTACACTCCCCTCCCCCGGGATCACATCAATGCTCGTGCATTTCCTTCCACGTGGCTCGCGAGCCAAACGCACGTGCCCTACTTCCTAACACACATGTACACACACACACTCCTTAACAACCTAAACGGATTTATTAGCACATCGGAAACGCCGCGAATTAATCCTCTGTGTGTGAAATGAACCAATCAATTACATATGTAACTGCGCCGCAATGGACTGATATCATAACATAATTAACCAGTCGATACGAACCGTTATTACGTGTATATGAGTTATATATTATTATATGTGTATCAGAAGTGATTATTAATATTCTGGGGTTAAAGGTCAGCTGGCAGTGATATTAGCAAGGACAGCCATATCGAATCCCTGTCACAGAACGGCCCATCCATCTTATTGTGAAAGGTTTATAATTATCTTCTATTATGTCTGATGCGATCGCTATTATGCTTGATTGAAATATTTACCTAATCTCTATCGACCGCCTTACAAGATGGCTGCCGTGTCGCTTACAACAATATCAATATATCTGTGTGTTGACCTTACGAAATAAATTATTTTTTATCTGTAATCAAAGTCGTCAGTATTAATCATATCAATAAGCCATACTGTGAAACAATGCCGGATGCAATTATAAACAATGCTGTTTTATAGTTGTGGTATGAGGCATCCGTTCATATGTGGCGCGTTATCTTATAACACAACGCGAAGCACTTGTGGTGACTGATATGTTGTGGCAGCCTATTAATGCGCTTGGGACATTCCTTAATAGAAAACAACAACATGGATAAAGTCGATAAACCCATTGATTTTATGTCTGGTATTGTTGTGCTCATGTAGGCCGCCGCACAAACGGCATGTTTAGCAATCGATACAATTAATTTACAAATATAAGCCCTCGCACAGATCGGGGAAGCTGTGCTCTATTTATAGATTTGCACAAGTCTCTATTTTTTAGGCAATTTCTAGATTATATTAAGAATAAAAACATGTTGTCCCTATATTAGACTCGCGTCTTGTACTGTCCGCTTATCTAGACTTGCCTATTTTAAGGATAGAATTGCTATACACCGATGGACTTACCATTCAGAGCAGCCTTGGGGGAAGGCTACTTTCTTCACTCTGACAGTAAAACAACACCCCGTGATGGTCCGTAAGTAAATCATAAGTCTCTGAAATAAATAGATTTTACAGAAAAAAACACTGGTTAGATTATCTTCATAAAATATTATAAAAAGGAGACTAAAACTGTAGTGATTTCCAGCTAATATAGACTTTGTGTTTAAAAACGGGATAGAAGAAGAATATTTATTGTAAATTAACACCTACAGGGGGCAGGGTACAAAAGATGAACATGTCTAATTAAAAACATTGACATGCACAATATAATACAAATATTGCTATGATTAAATTTTGCCCGAGAGGAGATGTAGATTGTCTTTGCCTGAAAATTTGGTGAATGACATTGGGAGATGTTTGCATAGGCTCTGGTGGATGTAATAGTATTGGATGGGTCGGATGTTTCATGGTCTGTATGACAGAATATAAAGCTACTTGGTGAAAAGTGTAGTCTTTTATTTAGAGAAAAGAATACATCGTAAATACGCCTTTGTGGCAATACACACTGTTAGAGGAAAACCAGAAGTCATATACCGACAGTATGTTTACAGACAGCACTGGCGCACCCAGAGCGTGGGTGGAGGGGTTACTCCGTCTATTCCCCCGCCGCGAAATCTACATAGGCTGATCTAGGGGAAGGGGGATGGAGCCCCCTGTTGTTGTTTTGTTAAAAACCAGGGGAACCTCCTATAGCCCGGTATATGTATCATACACGTCTACCGTACAGACACGTGTATATACGTATACGCATGCACCGCCTACCCAGCAAATATACATTCGTATGAATACTACTCTAAAGAAGTTAAGGACCATCCGAATCGTTAATACATTACTATAGTTAATCTGTCATGGCACACATGGTTCTTTAGTTTTTCTGTTTGTTTCTTGTTTATCCTCCCACTCATCAATATTCCAGCTATATGACTGCGGTCTGTAAATAACCTGGACCAGACAATTCAGTGATATACATCATAGGCGCATCAATCAAGTCAGCGAACCTGACCACCCGAACCCGTTAGCCGCCTCTTCCGACAAAAATAGTCGCTTTTTGTAGAAACCATAGACTGCTGAGGACCTATTCTAACCCGGATCTTCACGGGAAGTATGGTTCACCTGTCACGCTTAAAATCCGGGTTCGATTCTCACATGTGTATGATGTGTGAAGGCCATGTCTGGTAACCCCCGCCGTTAGATATTGCTGAAATATTGCTAAAAGCGGAGTAAAACAATACTCACCCTTTTCAGAAGTGTGTGTATGTGTGTGTAAGGAGTGACTATATATAGAGCGTACAAGATGGCAGTTACTCCAGTATGTAAACCACAAACACGAAGAACAAACAATGTGTCTTTCATACTTAGGGGGCACGGGTGGCCCAGTTGTCTAAGGCGCCGCGATTCGCTGTGCAGAGTTGCGCCCCTTGGGCACGTCAGAAACCTATGATTGTGGGTTCGAATCCCGGTTCGCCCCGATTATGTTTCTAGGTTTGTCAGCACCATACCCGTGCTCGTGGGTTTCATCGAAGTGGTAAACGTCTAAGACCTGCATCACTTGGGGCTTTCCTCCCACATTAAGCTGACACGCCGCGATATAACTGGAATACTGTTAAAAGCGGCGTTAAACCCAACTCACTCACGCTCACTCACTCTTTCATACTTCCAAGACATATTTAGTCGGTATGCAAATGGACATCCCTCCCACGTGATGTTGTCAGTACTTATGAAAACCACAGTAGATAATCGGAATCTTGTAATCTAATACCCCTCCTCAGTTCTTATTATGCAAGCTTCACCACATGGCCCTGTCCCGTTTACAACCTGTGCCCGTCAAAGTCCGTTACACAGCAGAATAATTAGGACCAGATTGTACATTTTCAAGGGAATACATATTAGTGATAATTTCTCCTCATAGGGCTAGGTTCCATATTTGCATGTTTTTTGTTGGTTGGTTGGTTAATATCGCATTTATATTATACAGCCTTGTTGCAAGTCCAACAATTGCAAAGGATTTCTTGAATGTTTATAGACGTTGTCACCTGCGAACAGTTTTAAAACAAAACAAGATCTAGATTGTGATATTTTTATAAGTAGGCCAAAGGCTCTCCCTGTGTGTTGACTATCGTCTGGACCATATTCTACAAGCTTGACACGGGTTTGCCGACCATGCCAGCTGTTAGTTTAATAAGAGAAACGCATCATGCATATCTATCTGCGTCTATAAAAGAATGCACAAATAGTATGTTCTGTCGCAGGTGGTGGCCAACATATGTACCTATTCACCGCTACGCACACCGGCGAAGATAGAACTGCTGAAATTTGACTCGCTGCAATATCGATATAACGATTTATATATTCAATTTAAAACGCCTGCATTTGTTTATATACGAAATGTCAACGTTGGAATATTGCGACCAACTGGGAGAGTTTTCAATATATTTGCTGTCTCAGGTGACGAGGTAGAACTATTTCATGGCTGCTTCAAAAATGTAAATTCAAATGTATCAGGTATAGATTAGTAAAACTACCATAGTCCGTTGCCATTTTTATCATTTGGACTGGTTTTGATTGTAATATATGCAAATATTCCACAGTTTAGATGCAGGACAAATGGTTATGCTGAGTTTCGTGTTTCCCCGTTGGAGTCATCTTCGGTTATCCAGTGTTTTCTATACTGCACAAATAAATAGGGATCTTGAATGTATTTGGGAATTCTTTTTTGTAGTGAAGACTGGGCACAAAATGTCTTAAACTATCAAAAAAATAATCATGATGACTTACTGTTTTTGTTCAGTATATCACCAATATATGTTTAGCTCGAGTCACGTAACGCTATAAATAGCCGACCAATTGATTTACACAAATGAGCAGTGCTAACTCAGTGCTAACTTCAAGGGTATGTATCATAATAGAACGGATAATATGCCCTTGATAATCGAGGATGCGTTGGGGTGTTTGAAAGGGAGCCTTGTGGGTTCGGTGGTCACTCGTCAGACCTGGTTCAATTCTATACAGGAGTATATTCTGTGACGCCCCTTCTTGCTACATAGGGGGCGGTCGGGTAGCCTAGTGGTTAAAGCGCTCGCTCGTCACGCCGAAGTCCCGGGTTCGATTCCCGACATGGGTACAATGTGTGAAGCCCATTTCTGGTGTCCCCCGCCGTGATATTGCTGGAATATTGCTAAAAGCGGCGTAAAACCAAACTCACTCACTCACCTTTGCTACATAGAGCCTGTGGTCTCAATTCGTCTAGTTTAAGGTATATTTTGACTTTATATTCCATCGAAAATCTTTTACCTAAGTAGGATGTTTTCGGTGCTATTCCCCTCTTCAGTATGGCTGGAACAGTGCCTCAGACGGTTTCGGGGATTTATATACGGATTTACGTCATTTAAGGAATAGATAGGTTTTAGTTTTTTAATACTATCCTTAATCTGAGTAATGTGTTTTGCATCTCATCACTAACCCAATATATAATTCCAACTTTAATATAGAACAGGAGCGGTAGTCTGGTATACGTAGTTAAAGCGTTTGCTCGTCATGCCGAAGGCCCGGGTTCGATTCCCCACATGGGT